ACTTCATATCTGTGATTATGGTGAAATTTTGAAAAATTACGATTCGTAATGATTAAATTAGAAATTTAAGGATTAAGATATATGTGTTGGTCCACTTGTGTTCTTCATTTTTGTTGAGAACTCTAGAGAGTGAGTTAGAGAGAGGAGAAGAGGAAGAGCTAGGGATTGCAAAAGAATCAATGGGCAAACCTTAGATTTGAATTAAGGTATGTTAATTTACTTACAATCTTTGTCTCTAACTCATCTTTGTCATGAAATCAAGAAGAAATTAAGAATTTGAGCTAGGGTTTTGAGTTGTATGGTGGCTTGAGCTAAAGGCATGAAATTGAATCCTAATCTCTCCATCTTTGTTTGATTTAAGTTCATTCTTGTGATTGACCCATGAAACAAACCCTAGATGATTCATAAAAACATGATTTTTCGGAAGTTTATTCATGGATATATGTATTTTGAACTTGTATGTTATGAAATCTTGAATTTATGAAAAGATAAGACTTTGATTTTGAATTCTAAGCAAGATTGATGTGTTTGAGTTGTGATTACACTTGTATAAGGTTAGTATTTCATGTTTTAAAGGAAGATTACATGAGATCTTGGCTTGAAATTGGGTTTGAAAACTCAATCTTTGATGAATTTTCGAACTGTCTGGTTTTGCCCAGACTGCACGAGCGGCCACGGGCACTGCACGAGCGGAATATGAAAAAAAACAAGAAATTGCATTCTGCTTAAACCACCGCTCGAGCGGCCCAGTCACTGCACGAGCGGTCAAAGTGGGCACATGTGAGGCCAACCCTGTTTCAGCTTATACCTGGTAATTTCAAATAAGTATATCTCCATCATCCGGACTCCGTTTAAAGTGATTCTTGAGCCTGCTGAATTCAAGCCCTAGAAGTCTAGTGTCTAATGATGGTGGTTTCACATCCAAATTCTAAGTACATAAATAGATATGCTCAAATTAGTTTATGCTGTTTATTTTCTTTTAATCATTTCATACCATTCCCTACCCTAACTTAGTTTCCTCTCACTTCTTGCTTTTTCCTTAAAACTTAAATATGTAAACATGATATTTTCAATGAAAAACATTGGAATTGTTATAGGAATTATGTAAACACTTGAGAGAATTTAAAGAATGGGGAACGATTGAACGCATATGTAACGAATAAATTGATTGAGCGACTTGAAGGTAAATGTGTTTTGAAATGTTATGATTGGTAATGTTTTTGCAGGCTGAGTCGTTAAGGAGTATCATCCAACCAAGCACTGTGAGTAATAATATCATACATATATATTCTTTATTGTGTACATCGAACCATGAATGGTGATTGGTACCGACATTGCGATTTGATTGAAATGAAAAATTTCATTAATATTATATGACATGTGCTATATGATTGGATCTGAGACCACTTGCTATATGATTGGGCCCGAGACCATTTGTTATATGATTGGGCCCGAGACCGCTTGTTATATGATTGGGCCTGAGGCCGCTTGTTATATGATTGGGCCGAGGCCGCTGGTTATATGATTAGGCCCGAGGCCGCTTGTTATCTGCTTGGGCCCGAGGCCGCTTGTTATGTACTTGGGTCCGAGGTCACTTGGTTTATATGATTATGGATATTATGAGAACCTTATGATCATCTACTTACACTGTTTTACTGTATTATTACTCATTGAGCTCCGCTCACCTAATTTTATGTATACACATGTAAGTGATCAGCAGCATGGAGCACACCCCTAGAGTCAGCTTCAGGAGCCTTTTTGTGATCAAGTCATGCCTCCAAGACGAAGTTTTGTCTTGACTCACACAACACTTTGACCTTATTATATTTTTGCTTTCATGGTCTTGGGTTGTAAACACTATGTACAATTTTCCTGTGGCTCTTATATTTTTGATGGGCATGTATATGTATTATTGTGCTACGTGGTTAACTCTATGATTTTGCTCATGATTGGCACAGCTCAATGGACTTCTCATTATTATACGCTTTTGTTTATGGCTCCATTAGCATAAATATCCTGTATGATCATTTGAGGCCTTCGGTAATCTACGGATTATTAGTCGATTATGACCCAAACTTTTGGGGGCGGGTTCTGGTCATGACATGAACATTGAGCAATCTACCACTACTAATCTAATAAAATGTAATCACTAACACAGTAGCTAGCTATTCCCATCAATGTCACTGACTTGATCTCAAAAAATGAAGATACTATTAAGATAGCGCAATTATGAATTTCATACACATTGTACAGATCCCAAAGTTCATTGAGACAAACAATTTAAAAAGATCTTAACTGCACCATGAGAATGTCCTCTATTGATACTTGACCAAGTAATACAAGTTACCAATATCCTATTGACTGTTCTAGAAATTTGGATTTACTAGCTTCATTTGCACGGCTTTGATAGTTTTATTCGCTTACTACATTATACGCCATTGTCACTTGTCTGGTTACATTTTGGACAAGAGTTGCATGAAATGCTTTTTATTTATTTATTTTATCAGCAACAAAGGATATTTATTAATAAACAAAAAAGATACAAAATACCCAAAAGATGCCAAGTGACAAACTTTTTCCCACAACGAATCCTCATCTAAAACATACCCTGAAAGATTCTCACATTCCATTCCAACCAAGTGGCCCAAAAAACTGCAAAAACAACACATTTCCAAGGACACACGACATGAATTATACATCTAAAGTAATAGTCTTAGGCGTCACCTGAAAGTAGCTTAGGACAAAAGCGACTGACATTACACCTAAAAATTAGAAGGAAAAATACACACAAAAGGACCCTACTGATGGAGTGCACACAAGATATTTAAATCGCCTTAATATTGCAGCTCCTCAAAAACAAGATTCACAGATCCTCCCCACTTCCCATGGTACGACTCCAAAAGATTCCCAGCTGGTGTTACACCTAAAAAAAAAAGGACATATCAGACCGAGTAACATTAAGTATTCAGTTCTTGTGGAAGATCTGTGATTTGATTAAGGATGCCAATGGTTCTAGCAAGCTCTTTGATGTGGTGGAGAGAGGTAGGTGAGGTTCTAGGAGGAGGAGTTTTTATGGCTTTGTCAGGCAATGGTTGAGGCTTTAAATAGGGTGGTTTCACATCCAAATTCTAAGTACATAAATAGATATGCTCAAATTAGTTTATGTTGTTTATTTTCTTTTAATCATTTCATACCATTCCCTACCCTAACTTAGTTTCCTCTCACTTCTTGCTTTTTCCTTAAACCTTAAATATGTAAACATGATATTTTCAATGAAAAACATTGGAATTGTTATAGGAATTATGTAAACACTTGAGAGAATTTAAAGAATGGGGAACGATTGAACGCATATGTAACAAATAAATTGATTGAGCGAATTGAAGGTAATGGGTTTGTTTGGTTTGTTTTTAGGAGAGTTGTTTTTGAAAAAAAATTTAGGGAGAGAGTTTAGAAATTTTTTTGGTTTGTTTGGTTGTATATTTTGGGAGAGTTGTTTTTTTAGGAGTTTGGGATGATTTGATATTTTGAAAAAATTTGAGTAGATGTGTGTGAGAGAAAAAGTGATTGAGAATGAGAGAGAAGAGAGAAAAAGTGATTGATTGATGTGTAAGAGAGAGAAAGTGATTTTGAAAATTTTTTGAGAAAAACTCAAACCAAACAATTTTTTTAAAATTTTTTTCTAAAACTCATCTCCCAAATGCAAACCAAACATACCCAATGTGTTTTGAAATGTTATGATTGGTAATGTTTCTGCAGGCTGAGTCGTTAAGGAGTATCATCCAACCAAACACTGTGAGTAATAATATCATACATATATATTCTTTATTGTGTACCTCGAACCATGAATGGTGATTGGTGCCGACATTGCGATTTGATTGAAATGAAAAACTTCATTAACATTATTTGAGACCACTTGCTATATGATTGGGCCCGAGACCATTTGTTATATGATTGGGCCCGAGACCGCTTGTTATATGATTGGGCCTGAGGTCGCTTGTTATATGATTGGGCCCGAGGCCGCTGGTTATACGATTAGGCCCGAGGCCGCTTGTTATCTGCTTGGGCTCGAGGCCGCTTGTTATGTACTTGGGTCCGAGGCCACTTAGTTTATATGATTATGGATATTATGAGAACCTTATGATCATCTACTTACACTGTTTTACTATATTATTACTCATTGAGCTTCGCTCACCTAATTTTATGTATGCACATGTAAGTGAACAGTAGCATGGAGCACACCCTTAGAGTCAGCTTCAGGAGCCTTTTTGTAATCAAGTCATGCCTCCAAGACGGAGTTTTGTCTTGACTCACACAACACTTTGACCTTATTATATTTTTGCTTTCATGGTCTTGGGTTGTAAACACTATATACAATTTTCCTGTGGCTCTTATATTTTTGATGGGCATGTATATGTATTATTGTGTCACGTGGTTAACTCTATGATTTTACTCATGATTGGCACAACTCAATGGACGTCTCATTATTATACGCTTTTGTTTATGGCTCCATTAGCATAAATATCCTGTATGATCATTTGAGGCCTTCGATAATCTACGGATTATTAGCCGATTATGACCCAAACTTTTAGGGGCGGGTTCTGGTCATGACATGAATATTGAGCAATCTACCACTACTAATCTAATAAAATGTAATCACTAACACAGTAGCTAGCTATTCCCATCAATGTCACTGCCTTGATCTCCAAAAATGAAGATACTATTAAGATAGCGCAATTATGAATTTCATACACATTGTACAGATCCCAAAGTTCATTGAGACAAACAATTTAAAAAGATCTTAACTGCACCATGAGAATGTCCTCTATTGATACTTGACCAAGTAATACAAGTTACCAATATCCTATTGACTGTTCTAGAAATTTGGATTTACTAGCTTCATTTGCACGGCTTTGATAGTTTTATTCGCTTACTACATTATACGCCATTGTCACTTGTCTGGTTACATTTTGGACAAGAGTTGCATGAAATGCTTTTTATTTATTTATTTTATCAGCAACAAAGGATATTTATTAATAAACAAAAAAGATACAAAATACCCAAAAGATGCCAAGTGACAAACTTTTTCCCACAACGAATCCTCATCTAAAACATACCCTGAAAGATTCTCACATTCCATTCCAACCAAGTGGCCCAAAAAACTGCAAAAACAACACATTTCCAAGGACACACGACATGAATTATACATCTAGGCTATGTTTGTTTGGGCGGACTGGATTAGAATTCCCATGACTAATAGTCCTAGGATTACGAATCCATTGGATTATGTATCCTATCTTAACTAATAGTCAAGTTTAAAATAATTAATCCGTACTTCAATTGTTTAACCAAACATCGGATTAATAATTTTATTGGACTATTAGTCCAATCCCAAGCTCATGTCCACCCAAACAAACATGACCCTAAAGTAATAGTTTTAGGCGTCACCTGAAAGTAGCTTAGGACAAAAGCGACTGACATTACACCTAAAAATTAGAAGGAAAAATGCACACAAAAGGACGCTACTGATGGAGTGCACACAAGATATTTAAATCGCCTTAATATTGCAGCTCCTCAAAAACAGGATCCACAGATCCTCCCCACTTCCCATGGTACGACTCCAAAAGATTCCCAGCTGGTGTTACACCTAAAAAAAAAAAGGACATATCAGACCGAGTAACATTAAGTATTCAGTTCTTGTGGAAGATCTGTGATTTGATTAAGGATGCCAATGGTTCTAGCAAGCTCTTTGATGTGGTGGAGAGAGGGAGGTGTCTGGTTGTTAGTGGCAAAGGTATTGGGGACTTTGGTCAGTGACGGATGGAGGACATGTGGAGCCTTTGAGATCTCTTTCCTTGAGGCAGCAAACATCCAACCATTGCCTTGTAAGGTCGTGAAGGTGAAAAGCAGAACAGTGGGAAGGATGTGGGTTATTCATACAAAATGTATAAGATTTTGTAATGCATTGGTGATCATTGTTATTTTTTAGAGGTTCCTCCAAAAATAAAAATAAAAATAAAAAAATAAGCCAAACGGATAGATAAAAAAACTTGAAAATAGATAAGCAATGTTAATGTATGGTTCATCATTATTTACATAAGACTTAGATGGGCTACCTGTTCTAACCACCTCAGCCACTTCATTCAGGAATCCTGTTTCCTTAAATCCTCTCCTTTCCAAGCCATCCTACAAGAACAGATTAAGCCTTCGTTAGGAAAGAGCTAAAATAGCTGACTTTTTGGTTTTTTTGGCTATTTTAGCTTGACTTTTTTAGCCTTGTTTAGTTTGTGTTTTTGGCTTTTTTGACTTTTGTGAAAGAAAAAATGTGATGATTATGGTTTCAATGTAATATTTTGTCTTATTGGCTTATGTAACCAATTTTGTCTTTTGTGCTTTTTTAACTAAAAAGCCAAAACCAAACATTATGAATTGTAAAATCAACATTATCATGATTGGAAACATTGACAATAGTAACAACAATAACTTTTTAACTTACCTTTGCAAACCTTACAACATCTTCAGCCACATGCTTCAGCAATCCGTCACGAAATGGTGTCTTTAGACCACTTTTTGGTACCTATCAAATACTTTTCAGAATTAGATTTCCATCTTGATTGCAAAAAAGAAACTGTCCGTATTTTAATATGATAGAACATAAATTCAAGGATGCAAACCATCTTGTAATTCAATACACAGATATCGAATAAAGAGATGCAGATCATGGCTGTGCCGCCCTTTACTTGTTCTAAATCTGTATATTACCTTATTTCTCAACATCTGTCTTTCTTCTGCGGTCCAATCGGCTATTAAATCTAGCACATTTTGAAGAGAAATATCATCATATAATAGACCCACCTGAAATTTAAATAACCACATAAGTTAAGCTATAAATGCAAACTGGATAGGTGTCAATCGTCAGATAAGTTTATGCTCTACAGAAGTGAGATGGCAATAAAGAAACCCTTAAAATGTGAAATAAAAAATGTATGTCATATTTTTCATTTTTTACGTAATCAATAAAAAATTGTCTAAAAAATGAGTACAGACACGACTATTGTGCACAGCTAAAAGGTATTACAATATGTCTTAATATAAATTAAGTAGTTGTTTCAGCATTGACAAACTAATGAATGTAGAATACCTATCCAATGAATTTATGAGACATTTCAATCTACATAAAATCCAGATTCATTTATGCACATTAGTTGACTACACATACAGATCAAAGAGGAGAAATACCCAAAATGCAGGCAATGCACTTAAACTCCACCTAGGCCCCACATCAGCTCCCCTCATCTCCAAGTATCTCTTCAACCTGACCTGAACGAAATAAATAGCATCTGGCTTTTAGCTAGCAATTATAACAAATATGGAAACTTTTTTTGAAGTTAATCTCTATTGCATTAAAAATAATAATAATAATAATAATAAATAAAAAAAACCTCGGGTTGTATTGTAGTCAGATGATTCTCCCAATCATTGAGGGTGGGTAATTCACCCGGAATAGGAGCAAGTTTTCCTGCCATGAAGTCCTGCAAAAATATTATTTCAGAAGCATTACACAAATAAATAAATAAATTAGAAGTACAAGACAAAAATTCATGGTTGAAGAAAATGAAGCAAGAGTTTCACAGGGTTATAAAAGAAAGCCTAAAAAAAGTGAAGCAACTAATAGGGATAGATGGAAACCCGGAGTGACAACCCAGAGCAATCAATATACTTCTTTTTCCGATAGACGAACCACATTGGGACATCAAGTGCATAATCTACATATTGTTCGAACCTGTACACAGAAAACATAAGGAAAGGTCATCTATATCCTTCATTAAATTACATGAAGACACAAGATCAATCTTTAAAATTTATGAATGCAAGATTGGAAAGAAAATCCATCTAACAGCCTCCAAACTGTGCTGCTTTAGGTTTCAAAAGAAGAAAATCAAATAGATGTTAGAACATTCTTATTATAGAGTCATGCAGTAGATATATATACACACACATTATTCACAATGACAAACAATATTTTCTAGTTAACATGCTCTTAAACTATGAAGAGAGAGAGAGAGAGAGAGAGAGTTAATTACTTGTCATCTCAATTTTAGAAACATTTTCCCAGACGTTCAAAAGATATTAACATATGCTATTCTTTGTTTTTTGTTCTTGTCTAACAAAAATACATTACTTACCCAAAGGAGTCATCAAAAACAAAGGGAATCATGCCAGTACGATCGTTATCCACATCTGTCCAAACTTGGCTGGTGAAACATATGAGAATTAATACATTAATTCTACTGAAATAGTATAGAATTATGAAAGGTGACAAGTAGATGGTAAGTTATAGAAACCTTCTCATACTAAGATAACCATTCGGCTTTCCTTCAGTGAAAGGTGAATTGGCAAACAAGGCTGTGGCGATCTGTTTCAATTGCTATGCTAGTTAGATTACATAGAACCAAAGAAACTCTAGTAAGAACAACAAAGAACGAGTTTTTACAGGCTGCAAACCAAGACTAGCACGAAACTTCCTGATCATGTCCACTTCAGAACTGAAGTCCAAATTGACCCATCAAAGCTAGAAATGATATCCAACATTCCATTCAGAACACAAATTATAGATTTGGAAGGGGAAAACAAATGCTTAGTGACTTCAGGAGTCTCGATTTGAGATGACCAAAACACCAAAAATGTTAAATTTCCCACACCTGAACACTGCATGTCCGAAACATCATATCAAGTCCAAGAGAGCCAACTTTGGGTAAATAATTCCTCATAATCTCACATCTTCCCTGAGCCAAAAATAACTGTGTCAGCACACGGGTAGTTGATCCCGTATTCACATATCAATGTAACATAATGTTGGTTTCTCCTCTTTTTATTTTTCTGTTTCTGTTTCTTTTTCTTTTTCTTTTTCTTTTTTCTTTTTCTTCTTTTGAACGATTCTCACACAACAACAGTATAAGAAAATGCACTTTTGATAACCACTTTTGCTGACTAAAAATATTTTGGTCACCAAAAATTGTGGAATTGGCGACCAAAATTTATGTTAATAGGCAAAAGTACAATATTTAGCTACTAAATTTTTTTAGTCGGGGTATATTGATTATTAACGACCAAAAAAATTTTTAGTTGCTAAAAATGCCTCAATTGGCGACTAAAAAAATATTTTAGTCGTTGTATAGTTAGTTTTGGCTACTAAAATTATTTAGTCGCCGAATGAAAAAAAAATTTACTGGAATAGTGTTCTTTTTTTTTTCACCTGTTATTTTTATATTTTAAATAAAAAAATATTTCCAGAATTTGTTTTAAATTTTTTATGAGTTTTGAATAGGATTTTGAATTGTACGTTTAGTTATGAGTTGTAAATTTTTGAATTAAATATCATGTCACATCATTCATTTCAAACTCAATTCAAAATTCTTTTCAAAACTCAGGGCCGGCCCTGGGCATAGGCCCACCAGGCCATGGCTTAGGCCCCTCAAAATAGACTCAAAAAAGGGCCTCCTTCTATTATAGTTTAGTGTAATATATTAGGTATGTTTTAAATTAAAAAAAAAATTAAAGAAGGCCCAAACTATCTTAAAATAAATTAACTCATTAAAAAATTAAAAAGCTCATTCAAAATTAAAAGGATCCATTCTCTCTCCCTATCTAATTTCTAACACTAACTCTTTTGACACAAATCTTTATCCTTTACCTTTAAAAAAAAAAAAAAAAATCGTTGAATAAAAAAATTATATGTGAAGAGCCCCAAATGATCTAGTGATATTTATTAGTTCATTATCGGCTTTGAGCCCTGAAAATCTGAGGGTTGGGCCTATCAAAACTCATAACCAAACAAATTTTTCACACTCATATCATAATTTCAAAACTTACAAATTCAAAATACAGCTCTATTCTCAAATCATATTTAAAAAACTCTACCAAACACTACCGTAGATATTTACAATGGGGCCAAACGTTTGACAATGATTGGGACCAAAAAAAAACAAATAAAGAAATAAAGTTTTGAGTGATATATGTCTTATTTATAAGCACACTCCTATAAGATGATAGTAACGCCTAAAAGAATTCTATCTTCTCCATCACTCCATCTAAATTCCTCAACTTTTTTGGTCCATGAGATATATGAGAGCATATGCCACCTGCACCATTAATTTCGTCACCAAATCTAGTATTTATGTAAATTTAACATATCCAAACCCAATGGATGGATAGTAGAATAAATAATACCTTGGGCATTATAGGTGTGTCTTTGAGGCCCCATTTGGGCTGCAAACCAATTCCTAAGAATCCAATTCCCATTTCTTCTGCGACAGTTTTGACCTGCTCACCAGTATCATGCAAAGATAAGAACAACTTCAGCAGTAATATATTTCCAACTGATTGAAAACAAGTGAAAGTGAGCAGGAGAAGAACCATGAGAAAAAAACCTTAATTGCATTTTGAACAAGAACAATAAAACTCAAAGGTCAGATTGAAAAATTATACTAGACAACACAAGTAGAAAAACAACTAACAAGTACCACAAAAACGTAGAAAATGAATCAAATGACATGTTAATGTAAATTGTAAACCACCTACTACCACCTACTCCACCTACCACCTCCACTTCACCTACTTCACCTACCACCTCCACTACACCACTCCACCTTCACTTCACATCTCCTATATAATGTACATACAATACACAATCAAAGAGATCAATCATAATACATACAATTTATTCTCTCTATCAATTTATTTTACATGGTATCAATTTATTTTACATGGTATCAGAGCAGGTTTAGAACCTAATATTTTCGCTTCCCCGGCAGGCGGCAACCTCACCTTAGCTGCCCGCCGGACATCAACCTAGTCTGCTAAAATTTTCTACACATACCTTGAAATTTCCTTTCTTCAACCTGCTGAGTGCACAAAAGGAGCATAATGGTATGGATAAAACCTGAACAAAAACAGGTAAGAAAATTTTAGAAGTATGTTGAAGAACAGCATCCCACACTGTTAGAATTTACCTACACCTACCGCCGGACCTCTACACATACCCATCTCAGTCTCATCAGTGGACGAATTCATCAAGAGCTACTACTACCTCACAAGTTCCGTCTTCGTTAGCCTCATCAGCAGCAGGCTAGAACCCAGCCAAGTCACACTCAGATATCTTTCGGGGCTAGCCAAAAAATCATCATCGACAGTTCCACAAGGACAGTGGTTGGGTCTCCCACAACTTCCATCTCCAAGGGTGGTGGTGCCAGTGGAAGCCCGAGGACATCGACCTCCACTTCACAACCTGGCCATAAACCCACCGCCCAACCTTCTTCATTGTCTTCTCAGCAGCCCAAGAACTCCACATCAGTGCCAAGCCGGACATCATCTCCGGTTGGTGTCAGAAGTGTTCCATCAATACTTGGCAACCCCGTCCCAGCCACCTGGTCCGGCCGCATCTGGGGCTGCCACGGTTGCCGCTCCACCGTGTCCTCGTCTTCCCCTTCCTCCGCTGCTAAGAAAAGGGTGAGATGATGATCACCGGTTCTGAAACCGTTCGCGGGTTTGAATCGTCTGGACTGTCTTCATCCTCTGATTCATTTGACACCAAGAAAAGCAGGGTTTTGGTGGGAAACCAACAAGTGTATCTGATGGCTTCTGGACCTAGAAAAAAAGGCCCTCTCTTTTCCTTTCTTTAATACAACACCCGTGCCATGCTGCAAAACAGATATATAATATATATACCAAATCGTGGTCCATACATTTAATCTACCTACTCTCTCTCTCTCTAGTTACTTTTCTTCTTTTCAAGACACCCACCAGTGCATGCTTTCCCATTAATGCCTTTTTCTTATTATTTTTTTTTTTTCATTATTCTTAAACTTTAAACCCTCTCTTTCCAACCCACCGCCCCACATGCACTTTATGATTCCTTATTCCCTCCTTTCCCTTACTTTCTTCCACCCACGATTTCACCATTTTCTTTTCTTTTAATATATATATATATATATATTTTATTAAAAAAAAAAAAAACATACACACAGCAACATATGTAGCCTATACTTGATCACTGCATTCAACCATTTTTGTCATTGGATTCCAAGAGAATCCACTTTTACTCAACATTTCCTGTATCAATCTATATTTTTTCTTGATAGTTTTTAAGTGATTAACACAATGCTCGCGACTGAGAGAAAGGTTAAAGCCTGAATTTAAGGATGAACAAGCTGCAATATAAGCTTGATCTTTAAAGCCCTTATCCACTTTGTAGCCTTCATTGGCTTGATGCACTAGTTCTAAAATATGACACTTATCCATCCCTTTAAACCAAACTATGTTCTTTCCTCTTTTCTTCCCATCTCCTATGGGCTGTTGACACTTATATACCTCCATTTCCTATAATAACAACTCACAAGTATGCTTAACCAATAACATAAGATCAAATCATTAAAAAACTAAGAATACTACCATTTAAAAAGACAAGCATTTATGTTATCAATATTTAGAGTTTAACAAGGAAATACTACCATTGTTGAATAATAATAGAAAACAATGAAATACTATCAATTACATTTATCTACAAATAACAAAACATTAGTTTTCGAGAATTCTATTGATATCTTTGACCAAAATCAGCCCACATTTCATTCATTATTTGTGTTCGAATTCTCTTTCCTTCTCTTCCATCTTCAGCCCTAGTTAATTGTGTGTCAATGATATCATGAATAGGAGCAGTTTCATTGTTAATCTCTCTATCAACAATATTTAGAAGTGGATCATATGGCATCACTCCTTGAATATGATTGTGCATGATGCAAGCAGCAATTACTAACTTCCTTTGAGTTGTATAGCTAAACATTGGCTCTTCCACCAAAATTCTAATTTGTTTTTTTAATACCCTAAAAGCTCGCTCAATTGCATTTCGTAGTGATGAATGCCTATGGTTAAACAATTCTTTTGATGTGGTGAGCACTCGACCTCTAATTGCATTTAGATGGTATCTTGTACTTCGAAATGGGGTAATGTAATGCTTTAGTAAAGGAAATCATCCCACGTCAACAAGATAGTATTTTCCTACAAAAAAATAACATTTGGCTTAATAATACATAATAAGTTCAAAAATATTTATCATTATTTATATGTTAAATATTTACCTAGAGGACACGTGATTCCATGTTCCCTATTAATAGCACAACCTAAGATTCTAGAATTAGATGTTGACCCTTCCCATCTAGCTAAGACGTAGGTAAACCTCAAATCAAATATGCAAGTTGCTAAAACATTTTGTGACGGCCATTGTTTTCTCCCACGAAATCGAGCTACATGTTCAGTAGAAACTTTCACACGAAGGTGTGTACCATCAATTGCCCCCACACAATCCTACTTGGAGCAAGATCAAATGAGACTATATACAAAACATGTATATGTATTAAACCCTGTTATATATAATAAGATTTTACCTTAAAATATCGCCACATTCTAGGATTGTCATATATCTCTTTAGGTGTCTCCATTTGAACTGAAGGTTGGTTTAAATAATTATCTTCCATCCTTACTATTGCATCTAAGACCATATGAAAATATTGGGACACGGTTTCACCAGACCGCTTATAGTAGTATTTTGCAGGGCAGTTCTTGACATTGTGTGATACTATGTGCAAGAATATTGCAACTTGCTCCTCAACACTACAATGCACAGTATCTTTTAGCCTTCCAGTACCCCTAAGGATTTACACAAATTTTTGAAGACACTCCATGTTTATTCGTAGTAAGTCGTGACAATGTTCATCACTTTCTGTTACCTCA